GGAGGGGCGGGGTTTGGGTAGCTGCTGTGCCCTGGATGTCCCTGGCTCCCCGATCTATCTCTGGGGTTTAGGGAGTGAGATGGAGATCTTACCAGCTGCTCTGAGTGCAGTGGCTCCTGGATGACTCAGGATTCAGTTTCTCAACAGGACGGGAGCAGACCGACTCTGTGTCTGCTCCAGCCCAGCGGACCAGGCAGGGGCAGAAGGGCCACTAAAGCTTTTCACAGCAATGTTTTTGCTAACAGCTGCAGGGTCAAAATGATCAGAGCATCTACATTTCTATATACCGACACCACCCACACCTTAGTGTCCAGCAGTGCATGCTCACTCATCCCATCCCAGCAGCTCCATGGTATTGTGCAAAGCCTTCTGAATGTGCCAAGCATGCTAGAGTTAGGGTCATCTCAGAGGAGCCATATCCACACCAGGGTCACTGAAACTTCCTTTACAGGATCATATATACCGTGACGGCTAATTTGATGTCAACTTGACACACCTGGGAAGAGGGACCCTCATCTTAGGAAATGCATCTATCAAACTGGCCTGTGGATATGTCTAATGGTGCCTTTTCTTGATTAATGATTGATGTAGGAGGGCCTTAGTATAGAAAGGGATAGGTTGGCCCAGGTTGTGTAAGATAGCTAAGCAGTACGCCTGGGACTAAAAGCCAGAAAACAAGTGTCTTCTACAGTCTTTGCTTCTTGTGGTTCCAGGTTCTTGCCCTGAGTTTCTGCCTTGGCTTCCTTCAATGACAGACTATAACCTATAAGCCAATTAGGCCCCTTTCCACCCTAAGTACCTTTTGATTATGATGTTTATCAGAGCAACAGAAAAACAAACTCAGATACATACCTAAAGTTAACAAAATTTTGTGGCGGCAACTTCTGACATGTTGTCCATAAATATTGAAGTTTTTTGTCTTGATCCTGCACACTAGGAAAGAAATATGCACAAGAGTATGTAAAAGCACACCTTACTAATACCCATATTAATGTGCTATTATAGCTCAGATCTGAAATATCTCTCAAAGGCCCATGTGCTATAGGCTTGGTCCTCTGTCTGTAGTGCTCTTAGGAGATCCTTTCTGAGGTAGGGCCTAGTTGGAGGACTTGGATCCTAGGGGGAGGTGTTAGGAGGCCAGTCCCTACCTGCTTCTCTACTTCCCAGCATGGGGTGAACAGGCTTCTTCTACCACCATAATGTATGGGGTAGCCATAGCCTAAAGCAAAAGGAACTGAATGTCTGAATCCAAGCCACAATAGACCTACCCTGCTTTAAGTCACATGTTTCTTACAGCAGAAAGCTAACATATGTCTTTATCAACAGTGACATTTATCTGTTTTCAAAACTGGAAGTTAGCACCCATCTTTGAAATAAACAGGTTTGGAGTCAAATCCCAGTTCCACACTACTCGACAGGGAATGGGTACTTCATGTCACCTAACGTTGATGCTGTTGAATGATCTCAATGCCAGAGGCAGAACCCTGTGACTGGCACAGAAGATGCCACTGAAAATTCTGCCTAGGAATCTGTATAGTAATTAGGAGCATTATGAGGCCTAGCTTTCCTTAACATAAAGACAGCCTAGTTACAAATCAGCTGTCAAGCTCCCAGGGACCCAGACCTCAGGTCTTTTTTGCGGTTTGAGCTAATTCCTGTGTGGAATAGTTTACAAGAGTTCTGTTTCTACACAGCTTTGATGCACAACCCCCCATAAACACGAGATGGAAAGAAAAGAACCCACCGAGCGGCAACTCTGTCATCCACACAGAGTGAAGCAGCTGCCCACGAATGCTGATGTGCTGCAGAACAGAGGGGCACCTGATTACACCTTACAGGCCAGCCACCAAGCCAATAGGATGGAGGCCCATGCTGACATTTCTCAACTACAGTACCTGTCTGCCAGCAGGTGGATGCCTCAACCTTAAGGAAGAATTTTAAAGTCAAGGAGTCCAGAGGATACTTGAGGCTACCCTACACAAGAAATTCTACTGATTCTGATTCTTGATTTATTTAACTCAGTCCCAGGACAGCCTGAGAACTTATCTTTGAACTTACAACCTCAGCACCTACCAGGGAGAAAGTCTCTCAGTCCACAGTGACTGCAGAAGCAGCGTTGTGATCCCTACAAGGGGTGAACTAAAGGTGAGGGGGAGGGATGGAGTTGAGACTGGTCCCCCCTTTCCCAGAACTGAAGAATTAGACAATTAAGAGAGAAAGTGAGAAGGTAACAAGGAGATCACTGGCCTGGCCAAGGAGAAGCTGATAGCATGTAAAACACACTGTCCTGTTACTGGGCATGTGGAAGCTGTGGTGGAAGGCAGAGGCAGTGAGGAAAAGATCAAACAATGGGCAGAGCCTTCGGGGAAGACCTGTGCCCATCTGGATACCAGCTCTGACAACGGCTTGGTCTAGCTCCCAGTTCCCGTATCTAGACAATGAATTAACAAGGGCACATGCCTGGTCTGGATGCTCGATGCTTGTTAAGAATGAAGCAAGGATGTTTGACTAACATTTAGAAGGGAAAACAAAACAGTCACAGGAGGCAGAGGGAGGGAGGAAACTGGGGGGGGGGGGATAGGGGAAGGGGAGGGAAATGGGGAGACAGGATCAGGTATGGGAAGAGACAGGAGAGAGACCCAGAGGCCCAGGAGAATGAATTGAAATCTGCAGCTGCCTGGGGTGTCGGGTAGAGAATCTATAGGAAGCCCCAGAGACCTGTGATATGGGAGGCTCCCAGGCATCAATGCAGGTGACCTTAGCTGAGATGCCTAGCAGCAGGAACATGGAACCTGAAGAGGCCACCTCCTGTAGCCAGGCAGGACCCCAGTGGAAGGATAGAGACAACAACCCACCCACTAAACTTTGGACTCAAAATTTGTCCTGTCTAAAAGAAATGTAGGGATGGAGCAGAGACTGAAGGAAAAGGCCAACCAATAACTGGCCCAACTCGAAACCTATCCCATGGGCAAACACCAATCCCTGACATTATTAATGATACCTGACATTATTAATGATGCTTGCAGACAGGAGCATAACTGTCACCTGAGTGGCTCCACCCAGCAGTGGATAGAAACAGAAGCAGATATCTAAGGAGGTCAGTGACACCTATGGAAGAGCTGGGGAAAGGATGGAAGCTCAAAAGTAGATGGAAACTCTACAGGAAGACCAACAGAGTCAACAAACCTGGACCCCTGGGAGCTCTCAGAGCCTGAGCCATCAAAGAACATAAATGGGCTGGAACAAGGCTCTTAGGCACATATGTAGCAGACAGGCAGTTCAGTCTCCAAGGCTGCTCTGTCTGGCCTCAGTGGAAGACGATGCATCTAATCTGGCAGAGACTTGAGGAGACTTGAGGAGGATACTCAGGTGGGTTTCACTCTCTCAGAGAAGGGGAGGGAGGAAGGGGGGAAGGCAGTCAGTAAGAAAGGGACAGAGAGGGGGAGCAGTGTTTGGGATGTAGACAAATAAATAAATGGGGGGGGAGAGAATAGTGGGGGGCAGGGCAATGTGCTCACTCTAGTACACAGTGGATACCGGGAAAACACTATTACTGCAAGTAAGTCTCCCGTCCTATTGCTGAAGAGCTGAGCCTTCAGGCAGCAGCACAGACACTTATCCCACAATACCTCACTTGCAGGACTGCTTTCACCACAGCAGGGTTTGAACTAAGCAATCCACTAAAGTGGATGAAGACACACCAGCTTCCTGTGCTAACAATACTGAGCATGTTCACTCTGGATGCGGGTAGAACAAGGACATATCCCTGCACATGTTCAATGCTCTATTATGATTCCTGAGAGTACAATTATTTACAAGTGAGACACTGTGTCACATCGTTCTTTTGAACTTTTAAGACTCTGAACACTTTAAACTTACCTTGCAACTTGTGTCCATTCTTCATACAGACTGAAAGTCATTAAGGGCTCAGGTAATTCCCGCAAATAGGACTTTAAAGCACCTGAAACCATGAACAAACACTGAGTATGCAGTAGGGTTACATTACAAGCTGCATATGTTTACAAATGAAAGTATCTCATGTACAGTTTTCCAAGCTGCACAGAACAAATTATAATTGGGCAGCCTCGCTTAAGAGAATTAAACCTCAGAAAAGATATTCAGTTCCTTGCAAAAATACAATGAGAGAGCAATGGAAAATAAAATTAGCTATAAAGTAATTCTATTGACATACATAATTTCTCCAGGCAAACAGGTCATAGGTATGATAGGAAAGAAGATTTCAAGTAATCTCCATAATAAATACATGTACGCTATCTCTACCTTTGCTTAGTAACAAGGAGTGAGGGGGAAAAGAGAACTTGGGGAGAAGAGAACTCAGAAAGAAGAGACAGGTACACAGGCGTACACACATGCAGTGCATTATAAGACTTAATAAAGGGAATCTTTCATTCAACCGCTCACTCCTCAAATGACAACTGTTCTTTCAGCTGGTGACCTGAGCTAGGACTTGCAGACAGTTCTTGGAGCTCACCTGCGACAGCATGGGGATCTGAATAGAACTCATCCAGGTGAGATGTGGAGCAGTCGAGAGCAGCTTTCAGCTTCTTCAACTTGGAGGCTCCAGCTCCGATCCGAAAAAGGCCCTAAAGAAACAAAACGCCAGTACCCCATCAGAGCTGAGTCTCGGTCAGAGCCGAATTTTGCTCTGGGGAAGGAACTTCATCTTGCTTGTGAGAGCCACACTGACCATCTCACAACCCCATTCTAAGGAACGAAGAGTGTGTATGTGCCTAGTGTATGGTGACAGGCAGGACAAAGACCTTCTTTTCTTTTTTCTTTTTCTTTTTTTTTGGTTTTTCAAGATAGGGTTTCTCTGTGTAGCCCTGGCTGCCCTGGAACTCACTCTGTAGACCAGGCTGGCCTTGAACTCAGAAATCAGAAATCCACCTGCCTCTGCTTATCAAACACAGACCTTCTTAATACTGGTTCTTGATCTATTGAAAGCTTTTTCTTTCACAGCACGGAATGTTGACTACTACATATTGTATAAATTTAGTTATTTTAAAAAACTGACATCTTGGGCTGGAGAGATGGCTCAGCAGTTAAGAGCATTGGCTGTTCTTCCAGAAGTCTTGAGTTCAACTCCCAGCCACCACATGGTGGCTCACAACCATCTGTAATGGGATCTGATGCCCTCTTCTGGTGTGTCTGAAGACAGCTAAAGTGTACTCATTAAATAAAATAAATAAATCTTAAAAAACTGGTATCTCACGGAAAGTAGATAAGACTTCACGTCACTTTCAATGACTTACATGGGAACACACAGAGAACCAAGAGGGGCAAGTGTATAAAGGACAATGGGCCAGAATTTAGGAGACACAGGCTTAAACAATAAACTAGTAGGCTTCTCAACACTTTATACACACAGTGACTCTTCACTGGGGATGAGGAATGGGTGGTGGCAGTGAGATGACAACCAACTCTCTTCTGGAAAGCAAGAGCAGGTCCATCGGAGAAGCATGCACTGGAGCTATTAAAAGTTTAGTTGGGGCACCAGAAGCAAACATGAGAGTTTCCAGATGTTCTTGATTTAGGCTGAATTAGATGCCAAAGTTTTATCTGTGAAAACTTGCGGTGCTGTTCACCTACAGAGCCTCTGTTCTTCTGTATGTATGAGACTGTAACAAAAGATTCTTTAAAGGATAAAGAACGCTGCATTTTCAATCTGGCTTTGCCCTGGCACAAACGCTTTGTATGCTTACCTCTATGTAAGGAGGACTAAGAGGTGCCATGCTTGGTTTATGTGGGCATTTTTGGTATGGATCTTATACAATATATAAATGTACCCATTAAAACCATTGCACGGTACACACAATTCAAGACTGTCATGACAAGAGATCATGGACATTCCTGGCCACCAGAACATCATCCCAAATCATAAACAGAGCTTGAAAGGAAAGAGACAGGATGGTTGGAGGTCAGAGTACACTGCAAGCAGAACAAGTACCCACTGTTCTGAGGCCCACTTTATTTATTGAATAAAGGTCACAGACACGCTGGAAAATGTGGGTCATGGGGGACAAAGGTTTGAAATCCACTGGTCTATACCTCCATAGTGGCTGTTAAATCAAAGTGTGTGAGGGTGGTGATCCGGACAGAGGAAGGGTCAAAGAATTTGGCAGGTAGAACCTGGGGTGCCCCTCACCTCCTCCTTCATTCCAGTCTCCAGCAACAACATGACGCAGGCCTCAATAGGGAGAGCGATCTCACGCCCACTCCTCTTCAGGTGCTCCTCCAGAGGTGTACCGAAGGCTGGCTTCTCTGCCCACTTATCTAGAGCAGTAAATAGTTGGTAAGACCTTTGGCCACCTCATGAATTCTGGACATTTACTTTCCATAGCACCCAAGGACTCCCTAGAAGACTAAGGGTGGCTGAGGCTCAGGAAGAATGAAATGCCCAGACATCTGGTGAGCTTTTGTCATTTAGCAACATGTGTCAGTCTGGGACAATCACTGGTGGATAGAGGCCTGAAGCATGCCACATGGCATAACTTGCCCAGGGTTGATGCTGATGATGGCCTTGGATGTTATTACATGCTACCAACACACGTGGAGCCAGAGGCCTCTCGCTAAAACACAGACTACATCTGAGCACACTGGCTTTACTGAAAAGAAATTTCTTTACTGAAAAGAAAAAGAAGCACTGCCTCATGGGTAGAGGACAAGAAAAAGTCTCCATTACATGACAGCAGGAAAATCCTTAGCATTCCAAACAGGGGTGTCAAGACCAAAAGAGGACAATGTGAACACAAAGCAGGTGCTGTGTTCACATTAATACTGCCCACCAACCTATATCCAATTTAAAAAAAAAAAAACCCTAAGTAGAAAAACTGAGGTATCTGGGGTTCCCAAGTAGCTCAGGCTGAAGGCTGCGCTGATGGTGGCAACAGTGCTTCTTATGACTTTTAGGTCACAGGCTCTGTTTCATATACTACAGATCTGAGGCAGCTCAGCAGAAAAGTGTACAATAAAGCAGTCAGAAGAATTTGGAACATGGACATGCTAAATTGGATAATGAGTTGCTTGGCTGGTCTGGCCTGTCTGTGGACACTGTAGAGATCTAGTGTTGCCTGGAAGTACACAGAAACCAATACATGATCCTGTTCAGCTAAAGAAGGGTGTACATCCTTCCCAGTCTGACAGATGCCCCTCCTGTCACCACGCTGCTACAGGAGGGTTGGATCTGGACAGGGTTGTGCAGTGATATTTCTTCCCTCACCCCCCTGTGCAGGGCGGTGCCCCTTATACCCATTCCCACCCAGAGGAAGGGAGAAAAACAAATGCCACGGATCCACAGGCCTAAAAATAATGAAACATTTAATATGACAGCAAGCGGGAGTGAGGAAAGACGTGATAAAGGTGTAGGGACAGTGAAGACAAGTGAACAAAGACAGGGACCTCAGGATCTGCCACTTCAGCTCTTCACCCTGGCCAGGTCCTAGCCTTGGCCCAAGGAACTTTCTAACAGGAATCTATCTGAAGGATCTGTCCTGTACCACAAGACAGGTCTGGAACAGTTCTCTTGAAGGCCAGATCTTACCTAGACTACTCTGTTCCTTTTACCTAAAGTGTATTGGAGGTACTTGGGTTTGCACCTAATTGCCTCTACAACATGTCCAACCCTGAGATGCTGATGCCAAACAGAAGTTAGACACAAGTTGGGAGGAAGAAGCCTAATACCCTACCCAAGTCCTGTTTCCTGTTTGTGCAGTCAACTGTAAAACCATGGTCCCAGCCCTTTATGCTAAAAAAAAATCTTAATTTTTAAAATAGCAAAGTATCTTGACAGTTATGAGTTCAATCACAGACCTTAAATAATCTCAAAAGTGAGTTAGATGTGAGGTAACTAAGAAAACTACAGCAGCGTTTTTGTGGCTATGTCTTACCAGGCAGAATGCCCCATGGTGAAGTGTCCATGAACTGTACAGGGGTCTTTACTGCTATACTGAATACTAGGAGGCTGGGACATCTCTCTAAACTCATGTACCAACAAAAGGTCCGCATCTGTGTCCCTCTGTGAACCTGACCAGAGGACCACACAAAGAACCCAAAAAGAGAGTCCACTAAGATTTGGAATAAGAAAAGGGACATCTTTCCCCATAAATATGTACCTACCTCATGAACATTTATGAAGACACTAAAATCAATGACACAGGGCCCACCCTGCTGCCTCCAGCCTTTGGGGCAGCCCACTGCAATTTCTCTCTGTCGTGCTTGCCTTGGTAAATGAACTGCTTAAGCTGTTCATGTCTCCCACTTTCCTATGAGAAGACAAGAACTGAGACCCCCAGATCCCTGAGAGATGACCACACTCCAGTCTTCTCTTAGAATGTTCTAGTAAACACCAAGCAGAGTACGGCTTACCACTCATTTTGAAGTGATAACCACACAGGGAACACTCAAGAGCTTCTGGCCTAGATACAACTCCAAAGGCAAGTTCCAGCTCCGGAGCCGGCCTTCAAGCAACAGGCCTGCCTATATGTGTCAAGTACACATAGAAGGCACATCAAAGTCTTAAGGACTCCCCGCTTTCACAATAAGAGCAACTGGACTGTGATGGACACATAACACACACACATAAACATATAATGGCCATTAGAGAGACAGGACATATTGCTAAGATGTGGCAATCAATGGTATAGACGAGGGTCGCAAACACAGTTGTTGGGGATGACAAGTAGAACAGGTCTGTGGGCCAGGCTGTAGAGTCTAAGGCTGTAGTACTCTGAGAGCTGGTTGGAGGTATCCACAGGCAAAAGTATGCTGTGCTGAGAGCTTTGAAATATCCAAGAGAAGCCAGGTCAGGACTATTAAAAAGTGTCTGATTTCTCAACAGTGGCAACTAATTTTTAAAATAAATTTGAATGAGCTATGGCTGTTTGCGACTTCTGGTATAGACCATCAATGTGAGAGCAATTCAGAGACAAAGTACTCAGCGCTGGCAGCAGTGGTTAGAGAAGGCTCCTCAAAGGAAGTGAGCAAGGCAGGGAGGGACTCATAGGCATCAAGAAGCAGAAAGCACATGTGAGGGAGTTGGCTGGGAACAGCCCTGAGACACGTGGGAATGAGCGTGTGTGTATGGGGGTTGGGGGAGTCTGGTGGGATAGAAGGACGGTGGAGCTCAGTGCCAATTAAACCCAGAACCTAGCCACAGGGATATAGGGAGACAGGGTGCTGGCTCCCAGGCCTCACAGCTGCACATGACAAAAGGCAGCACTGGAAGACAAGGAGGGAAAGGCAGCTGAGGCAGGAGGCCTCTCGTGCTGTCTGAGGTCTGTCAAGTGCAAGGAAGCCCAGATCCAGGGAACCAACTGGTGCTAATGGGGCAATGCTGCTGGTGCTGTGGAAGGTGTCAGGATGAGAGATTCCCAGAGGAAAGGGATGAAGGAGGGAGGGAGGGGAGCAGAAGAGTGAGGACGGACCTCAGAAAATGCTGACTTCTGAGGGGAATGACTCAAGACATGTAGAATCCTAACCATGAAGGAAGACTGGATGAGGAAGAAAGCATCAGCAGAGTGCTGGCCTGGGCTGTGTCCGATACCAAGATTGGAAAAACAGGTTGCTGCTCCTTAGGGAATTGTAATTTCCTTTAATAGCTGAGTGGGCACAGGAGCAAAACTGCAAAGGGCTAAGGATAGAAAGGTAGACGAGAAGGTGAAAGTCATTCAGCACCCCTCAGAAACGGAGGAAGCCAGAAGTAGATGGGCATGAGTTCACGCCAGGAAGGTCTGAACCACCATTCGCTGACTGAAGGTGGGCTGCAGTTCCCCAGGCATGGGGACAGGAGGATCCCATTGTATGATATTTTTCTGATATGCTGAGACTTTCTGAGAGATGGATACCAAAGAAAAGACAGGACTAAAAGGGGTAAGTGCACAGACAGGCGGAGGTCAGGGAGAGAGACTGTAGCAGTGAGGACGTGGCCTGGCAACATAGCACATAGCTACACTCCTCACACCCCAGCGTTCCCTCTTCCAGCCTACACTCCTCTCTGCTCCCATCACCTTCTGTTTCTGTGGGGAAGAACACTGAATGAGGGTGAGTAAGAGCTCCAACTTATTGCTTATGTTAACATTCAACTTTTTCCAATACAGCTCTCACCGTTCGAAGACGAGAATGACATCTGCATCTTGTCCTGTACAGGGCCCCACCAGCAGTGGATATATCACAAACACATGTTCTCAATGCTCTGAACTTGACAGTAATAGTTTGTCCCTTGGAAAGATGAGCACTTGCTGCTGAGACACAACATATCATCCAGGATCTGGGAAACTCGGTGACTCAGGAAACAAGGGTAGCCTATCACGCAGAGTGGCCCAGGAGTGAGACAGCCGCACTGCACCTGCAACTGCTCAAGACCCTACTCAGGCCAGCGGCGCTCTCACTCTGTCGTGCAGTGCATCCAGGCACACAGAGTAACATCAGGGCTTCCTGAAACTGAGGGCAAGACACGGAATTCTCTAGAGGAAAAGCTGCCCACACAGTGGTGAACACACGCATTTGCCCACCTTGCCACACTCAGCACCTGGTCAGATCCCCTTGCTTTACAAGCCCAACTGCTCTACAGGGAATGAAAGCTCCAAAGTCAGCTCTCTGCACCAAACAAAACTAGCGTCAGCTCTCTGTAACTGTGGGCCAACAGTCAACAACTGCAGGCTAACACCATCTGGGTATAAGGGTGTGAGCACAGAGAACACCTGCTGCATATATACAATACTGTGTGTTCCATCGCAGTACTACAGGGAAAAAGAAAGAACAAGAAACTGTAAAAGGCTAATCTGTACCGAATACGTAGAGACCTTCATTTTCTTGTTATTATTTCCTAATCAATGCAAGCTAAAAACTTTATGCAGCACTTGAGTTATTATAATAGACATTATAAGTCATTTAGAGATTAAAAATATATGGGTGTGCTGTGGAGGATGTTGACAAACATTATGCTACTTTATATAAGGGACTTGGAAGTCTGGGACTTTTGTTCTGGAGAGCCAACCCCTCACAGACACCAAGGGACAAATGCAGTCCAAACCAAAGATGACAGAATCAACAACTTCTGCCCATGTCTGCTGATAATGGTAAATCACAGAGAAACAATAGCTAGAGCTGAGACGGGGGGGGGGGGGGGGGGGTTGGGGGCAGGGAGGCTTTAGACATCCAATTTAAAAGTAAACAGCACTGGTGGACAAAAGGGCTGTGTGCTTCAGCAAAGCTGGTAAGAGCAGGGACTATAACCATGGAAGGTTAGAGAGAGGCCACCACGGCCCTGTGTTCTGATCACAATGAGTGATGTGGCATCAAGGGCTGGCTTGTCAAATTCTTCCTTGGTAAGTCTGGAATACTTTCTCTAGAACAGATGGATGCTCCCTATGGAACTGACTGGAAAGGGTAATTAGATGGCAAACCTGTGGAAGAAGCAGAGAGGCTTTCTCTTCAATGGAAGGTGTCGGAAGTGCAATGCTCCATTAGTGTGTTAATTTGAGTTTGGAAGAAATTAAAGAATGTAGCAAGAAAGATGAAATTACACTGGGAAATGCTAAGCAGAGAGGCGTTGTCCCATGGAAAGGCATGCAAAAGAGCCAGGGTGAAGAGAACAAGGCAGAGGGGGCAGAGCAAGAGGAGGCGTCGACAGACGCGAGGGTTACATTACCTTGATGGGCGCGCATTTCGGGAAGGGCCTTTTCTAAGACTGCTAATGCTTTTCTATGGTAATCTGCTTGGGCTTCTAATAACTGAGAACAGACCCACATTCAAAAACAAAAGTAACGTTAGAAATGGATGGACACAGACACAGTGTTTGAGCAAAACTGAAAATGAACTCTTTCAAAAAAGCTTAAACGATTCAATTTTTATACCGTGTTAAGGTTCAGCTAAGGGAAGGTGCTTACCGTTACAAAGAACTTGCCGTACTCCCCTTCTTTGGCCATGAAGTTGTACATGTCTGCTGCAAGTTGATCCTGGGGAGAACATGCATCATTAATGTGAAACTAGTACCTGAGAACAACCTCTGGGATTTCTTAGATCAAATGAAAGGGATGACAACAGCCACAGGTGAATGCCTGCTGACCAAGTGACAACTATGCACACTGAAACACAGAAAGCTTTCTGATAGGGACATGGCTCAGTGGGCAGAGCACTTGCCTCACAAGTATGACGGAGGGCAATTGGACACTGTGCATACATCTGTAAGTCCAGCACTCTTATAGCAAGATGGTAGCCCAGACAGAAGAATCTTTGGAAGCTTGTGGGTACGCAGTGGTAAACAACAGAACCTGCCTCAGACAAGTGGAAGGGAAGGACCAACACCAAGGGTGTCCTCTGACCTCCACACACAATACCAAAAAAGAAAGAAGAGAGAGGCATCCAAGCACCCCACTCCACTCTACCCCCAACCCCGAAGCAAGAAACCCTGCAAACCCTGTAGGAATGCCTGTGAAGGATTATGTTCATTAGGCTAAGGTGGGAGAGCCACCTAAGAATGGGTGGCAACATATTTGGGGTTAGGTCAGCTAGGCAGCAACAGTCTTCATTCTCTGCTCTAATGTGAATATGAGGGATAAGTAGCTTCAAACGCCTTCAACACCATGGCAGACTATACCTTGAAAAGGACAGAATAAGCCCTTTCTCCTTTAAGTTTCTTTTGCTAGAGGATTTTATCACTATAATAGGAAAAACAAAAAGATACAAAGATATATAGTGGCATATCTTTTAGAAAGCCAAAGTACAGAACATGGTTTGTCATTTATTATCATTTGGGCTCTGGGTAACAAAAAGGAGGGAAAAGGTCATATGACCTTTCTCTTGTTATACATATATAAAAGTGTATAGAAAAAAGCAAGATACTAGAAATAGTAGTTTTCTGTTAGCAGCAGTAGATGCTGGGCAAAGAGAGAGAAAGACAGAAGACTTCACTTCCTGCTGACATTTTTAAATATGTGAACTAATGTAAAGTAATCAATAATGTAAAAATTGCTGTTATTTTTATTATCTTGCAGTACTGGGGTGAATCTCAGGCCTTGCACATTCTAAGTACTACTTTTTACTTTTAGACAAAGTGTCAACAAAAGTCGTAGGCTGGCCCTGAATACTCTTCATAGCCTAGGCTGGCCCTGAACTTCTAATATTTTTGCCTTACTCTCTCAAGTCGCTAGCATCACAGGCTTGTACTACCAGGACATACACTTAAAGGACAGATTCAGTATTTGAATATACATGTTTTAAAATATGTATGTATAGACATCTTACATAGGAAACACATATATTAGAAAACTATACAGATAGCTTTTTAATGTGCTATCTTCTGTTTCCCCACCAAGGTGCACAATGTAATGTGAGGACTGTCTTATTCAGACATGCACATTAGGGGCAACACATATCCCTTTAGAATAAACGAGAAAACAAGAAAGTGGACTTCTTAAGATCTCACCTTACGCCTAACAAAAAAGAGAAAAAAAAATACAAAACACAAACTAAAGCTGAGGACAACCTGTGCTGTTCAATGTGTTTGGGATGTGGGCGCTGTGTACATTCAAGGGTCAGAACACTGTTAAGCATGGAACTTGGTGAGTTAAGGGAGAACTAGAAACTCACTGTACATGACATATCTTTCCTCCTTTTTTTGGGGGGGGAGTGGGACAGGATCTTACTATGTAGCTCAGCTGTCTTGTCTTGGAACTCACTATGTAGACCAGGCTGGCCTCAAACTCATCCTCCTTTGCCTCTAGAGAGCTGGGATTAAAGGCATGTACTACCATGCCCAACCTACTTAAGGACAGTGTTTCTAAGGAATTCTATGCCAAGAAAGGGAAAGATTACAGTAAGTTCATTCATCAGTATATGGAAAGAACTGAGCAGTGTGTGTGGACTGGGCTGAGTGTAGAAAAGAACGCTCTGCCTGTAAGACACTCACCCCGAGTTCCCAAGGCCCCAGAGACAAGTGCCTCCCCTTGGTTGTGTTCCTGGACACATACCACTCTAAACATGCCAAACTGCCAGTGTCATTTACTTATTTTTTTTTTAAATTTTTTACTTATTTATTTTTATGTGCATTGATGTCTTGCCTGAATGTATGTGTGAGGGTGTCAGTCAGATCTTGGAGTTACAGACAGTTGGCATCTGCCATATAGGTACATATAGTTGAACCTGGGTCCTCTGGAAGAACCACTGAGCTATCTCTCCAGGCCCTGCTAGTGTCATTTAAAAATGATTTTTTTCATATATTTTTGTTTCGTTCTCTCTCTCAGTTAGTCTCATGTAGCCTACAGTGGTCTCAAGCCTGGAGCCACTTGTTCTTCGATCCTCTTGCCTTCCAGTTCTCAAGCACTAGCATGACTACTCTCGCCTGTGTGGTTCTGGGACTGAGCCCAGAGCTCTGTGCATCCCAGGCCAGCATTATGCTTTCTAAGCTAAACATGATCCTTTACAAACACAAAAACTATGGTGCAACTCTGTGAGGTATGTCTCCCTTCTTACCGACTATATTCAGCATTTCATAACAGTTTAGAGAGCATCGATTGCTATCGGAAGGGACGGATTATAACATGACCTGAATAAACCAAAGAGGCCCAACACATCTAGGAGGAAAAGAGCATTTTTGGAAAAAATAAGGATCAGGAGGGGGAAAAAAAGTTGAAGATCCCAAGATTCACAAAGGACTTGTTTCTTAACACTTCTCAAAGAATTAGAGTAAGTGTCCATCTATTTACACGGTTAAACCTGATGAGAATAATTCATCCCATCATCTAATTAGTATGGAATTTACAAACCAACTGCTGTAGAAACTTAAAGAAAATCCTTCCTGCCTGGCATGGTGGGTAAAGCACAATTTTAATACTAGCATTTGGGATTAAGAGGCAGGCAGAGATCTCTATGAGTTCAAAGGCCAGCCTGATCCACATAGTGAGTTCTAGGATAGCCAGGGCTACAAAACAAAACCAAAAAACCAAAAATCAAACCAAACCAAACTAACAAAACCCTATCCTTACTAAAGTAACTGTGACTAATTCACTATATAATATAATAGATGCCATGTTTATAATTAGAAAACCTATACTAATTATACTGTTCTATCTTCAGACACACCAGAAGTGGGCATTGGATCCTATTGCAGATGGTTGTGATCCACCATGTGGTGGCTGGGAATTGAACTCAGGACCTCTGGAAGAGCAGCCAGTGCTCTTAACCACTGAGCCATCTCTCCTGCCATGTAATGTCATTTTAATTGTAACTTTATATTATATATTTTCTTTCCTCTCTATCTCAACTGATTATTTTAAATAAGCCCAGTCAAGTTCTCTTTAAACATTCATTTGCATTTCTTTAGATTTATTTTAGTTATACTTAGGAACATGTATGTGAATGTGTCGTGTGTGGCATGAGCATTTGAGTGCAGGTGCCTGTTCGAATTCTCTAAAGCTGTGAGCCACCCAATGTGGATCCTGTGCAAGAGCAATATGCACTCAGACCCCACTTGGATTTTTAAAACTGTTATTTTTTTGAGTATAAAATAATCTATAGTATTAGAAAATAAAACTACTCTTCAATATTATTCATAATATTCTGATATGAAGTAGGCAAAACACTGATGAACTTAGACTTTTTACCCATTATACAGAAACCAGAAGGTGGCTGAAAGTCTACCCACACAGAGGTTCCCATACCTTGCACTGTTCGACTTTATTCCCAGCTTCATCCATCTCTTCCTTTAGGGTATCTATTTTGGATGGAAGCCCCTGAAAGTTGGTTCCTGAAGACTTGTGTGCTTGGTTCCATCTGCAAAACAGAGGAAGAGCCTGACTGAGAAGGAGCTGCAAAAACTCAACTAGGATTCAAGACTGAAGAGAGATCTTTCCTGCAGCCTGACTCCCTTGGGATGGGAGCTGATTCCCTTTTTTAAAAAAAAGAAAAAAACAAAAACCAAACAAAAACCAAACCCTCATGTTTAGGCTCTAGAATAGAAGCAGGCAAAAACAAGTACTAGTGTCTCCACAGGCAGGACTCTTAAAGTCCTGAGGGTAGCACAACCAAGCAGGCCTTGTGTCATGCAAACATCACTGCCAGAACACACTGGAACCTCTGAGGAACCTCTGTTTTTCAGGGCCCAATCATGGAATCCTTGCCATCAAGGACCCTCCTACTGGAGTGATTTGGAATGTTCCCTACACTCTAAGAACAAGTCCCTGCTCTTGATGAACCTCATGATGCACCTTTCTACCTCTTGAGACCTGAGACTGCTTCTAGCAGTAAAAGCTAGAACTTCACCGCAACTATGGCAACACTTCAGATAATGCATTTGTAACATTAGTTTTGGTTTTCAAATATGCTTCTGTTTGAATGCAGATGTCTGGACTCACTGAAAATTTAACACAGATACTATGCAGACACAGCATGAAAACCCACACTAGCAACCTGCCGCCTACCTGCAGATGCCACCTTTTCCCCTCTCCAAGTGTGGTGCACAGAACGTTTCCCAAGAAGCAAACAGCCAGTGCTGAGTCTGAGAAGAGCACAGAATTTGGAGTGTGACACCTGTGTGGAGAGCAGCTCCATCTTATGGGTGTGACACC